GTTTCAAACCAAAAAGAAAAAACAAGCCCAGTGCCCACGATTCAATTTCCAGACAGCTCCACCTGGATGACTGAGAATCTTGTTAAGACGTATTTCTCGGGAAATAGACAGCAGCGGAGAGCACAAACTTTCAGTCACCTTTCAATCAAAACTTTAGTAGAAACAAACCTCACGTCTGCTTAACAAAGGCCGATTCCTTAAAGACAACAAGGATGTGCAACTTGGCCTGTCACGCCTTCATTTGTTAAGGGAAACTTAGGAAAACAGCTGCATTTTTTTTTATTTTGCCTTAAGGTGATGAGAACGTGCAAGGCAAGAAAAGAGCTGATTGTCTATATTGCAAAAATTAAAATTTTACCATTTAATCCCTCTTGAATACACTCACGGGGCCTCTGTGCGTGCATGCACACACACAAAAGCCACACACGCAGGCACGCACACGCAATCAGTTTTTGTTAAATTTCGTCCATACCGGAGCTGAACAGTATTCTGAAATTTCAGATTTACAGGGAATTGTTTTATAGAAAATTGGGACAGAAGGAATGGGAGGGGGGGGACAGGAAATCAACGAAGAGAGTCAAGAAACTTCAATAATCTCCATGCTGCCTGAAAAGCTGGATTGGCTTCCCATTTTCCCAAGTTCTTCTCGGGACCTGTTCTCTGACATGATACTTTCCCCAAATTCCATCTGGCAACTCCTCCGCTTGAACTGCTTCTCAAAAGAGCTCTCCTCGTGCCAGCTCCGCCGGGAGTCGCCTCGCTCCCCGTGTTTTTCTCTCCTGCGCACCCCATACGTTTGCTCGCACCCCGTGGGTAGCTGGCTGCAACTGAAGGCCGAATAGGTGGCGCTCCTCCCGTATATGGCTGAAGCGGAATAAATATGGGAAGGATCGGCGGTGAAATACCAGCTGCCGGTCAGGGAAGCCGCAGAGGTCTGAGGAGATAAGATGTCCGAATGCCAGCCTTTGAGACCCAGCCCAGCTGCAGACTTGGCCAGATGTTGCTGGCTGGCCGAAAGGCCGAAGAGGAAGTTGGTTCTGTAATTATCTTCCATGCTCCCGCTTCGATGCAACGGGTACAAGGATGACCTCTGAGCAGAACAATTGGTCCTTCCCGAATGCTGCCGCTTGCTCTGGCTGTCGGGCTGCCAACCCTGGTGGGACTTCTCTGGCAGCTTGGTGTGTTCTTTATCGGGGCTGCCCTCGGGGGTCTGTTCTGAAACCTCCTGGACTGGAGAGAACTGGCACAACTTGCCGCCCGCTTCCAAAGTGGCCGAATGCTTGTAGAACTCCAACGTGTCTTCCAAGGAAGGATAGCCTGGTCCTGAAGCCGTAAGGCAAGCGTTGCCGGCGGCGCACGAGACGGACTTGATATCCAAGGAAAATGACCGCTTCAATCTGTTGCTGTCTTCAACTTTATCGGAGGGGACGTTTAACCCAGTTCGGCCTTGCACCAAGGAGCCGCCCTCTGCAGATGGTGGGAGAGTGGGAGCTGATGGCTTTCCTGGCTCCGGGGCTTTCGTCTCCACCTTCTCTGAGGTAGAGGAAGCCCAGAGCTGAGAAGAGGCCCGTAGGGGTCCACCACCTGCTCCGTGGTTGCTGCCGTTTTCCAAATGCAAAAGCTTGAGTTTGCTAACAAGCCCGCCGGTGCCTCCCTGGTTCTTGATCTTCTTTTCAAAGTCCAGAAGCTGGCCGAGAAAGTTGAAGTTAGGAGAAATGGTCGGCCTCTTCTCTTTCACAAACCTAAAATAGGAATTTCAAAATGGAAAAAGGGGAATTCAGCCAATTGACCTTGAACTCAAGGCTTGAATTGTGCGTACACAATATTCACTGAGGTTGGCTAGGCTGTAAAAGCATTACTTTCCAAGGTAAGTTGAGGTCACCCATTGCGCAAAGTACACACCCTTGGATGAAAGCAAAGTCACCTTTGACCAGCCACGTATGTTCTGCTCCCTTAAAGAATGATCTGGCAATGCCACGCATGGCTCTTTATTCTGTTCTCCTTGCAATCCTTTTCTGAAATAGCTCTTTCACGAATCATTTAGCATATACCCAAATCGATCGTCTATCTATCTACTAACATCTGTATCTATCCATCGATTTCGATTGTCTGTATCGGGGGTCCCCAAACTTGGCAACTTTCAAACTTGTGGACCTCAACTCCCAGAATTCCTCAGCCAGTTATACTGGCTGAGGAATTCTGGGAGTTGAAGTCCACAAGTCTTAAAGTTGCCAAGGTTGGAGACCTCTGGTCTATATCTCTAATCTCTATGAATCTAGATTGTCTATCCCTTCCTCACTTTTCTTCCCCTTCATTCTCCTCTTTTTTCCTTTTGTGTGTTGTATTTTGTAATACTTTATAACTTATTAAAAATGAAATTGGAAAAAACAACAACAATAAATAGTGACTCAGTAGGATAGATTACAAATTTGAGCTGCAACCCACCAGAGGCTCTTCGGAAAGCCAAGATAATGCCACTCTTAATGAATGAGAAACAGGGACCCTTTCTGCCCTATCCAGAAGTAAAGGACCTCTTCTGCAACTGACCGCGCGGAAGCCATTTTTCCAACCATGACTCTGGAAATAGCCAAGTCCCAACCTCCCCGGTTGAGTTTCTTCAGGATGACAAGAGCTCTTCCCCCTTACCTGTAGGCCTCATCTAAGGACATGTCCATCCTTTTCATTATATAGGCAATGGCAATTGTGGCTGAGCGGGATATTCCGGCTAAACAGTGGACTAAGACGCAACCGTTTGAAGCTTTGGCTTTTTCTGTGGCAAGCAAAGAGAAACAAAAATCAGGATACTCTAAAAAGCAGGAAAATCAGAACCCCCCCCTGCACGCAAGATAATCAGATAATCATCCTTGTCAGTGGGG